ACCTCTGGTGTCAGGTTTGTAACACTTGTACACTTCTTTAATTACTCTGCACTGATGTCACAGGAGTGTTGTGCATGAACTTTTGCATTTATTGGATGTTAATCACATACATAGCCTCAAACATAACAACATAATTTCACAATTTTCAAAGTAGCAGTTTTGAGCATTGTAGTACATAAAACAATACATCAATTAGACAAAATCAATTAGACAAGCTGAGTAAATCCATCACTACAAAATATCACCTTTGTATACTCTTGTTTATGGCTATCTGGATGTGAACTTGCATGAAAAATGGGTTTTTCAAGTAGCTCATTGCATGGATGTAATGTACAATAAACTTTTCTAAATTAACTTTAAAAATATGTACTGTCAAACAGAAAATTGAACTAATTTCTGTTTTCATACATTTTGTACACAGATCTAAACTTAAATTTTATTCAGTAATGTTAAAAGTTATTAAAGTAATGTTATTGTATAATCTGGTAGGCTTTATTAGAAAATAAGTAGGTCTTCAGTCATTAGTCCTGATATTAGTTTATTGCATGGCCAATAGTATCACACTTTCAATGTATTTTTACATTTATATAAATTCATTATGTTGATTGGAAGTAGTAATATCAGAAACAAAAAGGGTAGAAATCGAACAATTTTGTAAAGATATATATCATAATAATTTTTAGAGGAAGCTTTTTATCAATCAAAGTGTATGGTTTAACAATTATTGTTTAATTAACATGCATATATTTTTTAATTAATTTAAAATTTAAAAATGTTCCAGTGCACAAGTTTTTCATTTTGATATTGCAATGCTGATTCATTGTAGTCTCCAATTCTTCAAATAAAGAAATTAAAGGAAATGTCCTTTGTCTTATAGGAAGCATTTGTGAAAAAGTATAGGAGAATGGCCATTACTCAAGAAATTATGTGGATGATGTAATAACATTAAAAAATAGCCAAAGTTTGGATTTAAAAAAAAATTGAATCAAAGTATTTTATGACAGGCTCTTTCAATTAATTTACTATCTTTTTATTCCCATTTTAAATAAGGTCACCTCTGATTAATATTTGATATGAATAAGAGTACTTTTCTTCAAATTTTCCTTAATATGATAACTCTTGATATGTTCAACATGTTGTTAAGTTGATTGTTTGTTCAGATGTTGCATGTTAAACTTGAAAGAGCAAGATGGAGCAAGATTTGTAGATTGGTTAAATAGCTCCATCCCATTATGATTTTTAGTTTTGAAGATATAAGCATTATACTTTCAGAAGGGATAAAAGTAAAAATAAAAAATAAAATGAAATGATCCCAAGATGTAGTCAAATACAAAATAGCACCTACGCATTCGTAATATAGTACAGAACTGCATGAAATACAATAAAAATTTGAAGTTCAAATAATACAAAAACTGAGTTCAAAGCTTTATCTGAATCCATTTTTCATGTCAATAAAATCCAACCAACATGTGAACATCAGTAGCTACAACATTCAAACTCCTAATTTCAGAAATACAATCAAATTTTAAGTAGTGGAGATCTGGCTTAAATCTGGCAATGAGTCTAAAATAAGTGATCGTTTGTTTTATCAATGAGTGATGGACTGAAGAAAGACCTTTTGAATTCAAAATTAAAAGAACTTAAAAAAATAATTAGTAATAGATATTATGTTATAATGTAATGAAATGTTTAAGTAATTTGAGAAGGAAAATAAGAAATTATTACAATTTTTGAAGTTTTGAAGACTTTATTTATTTATTTATTTATTTTTGCCATTTTCTATACAACACTGGTTTCCCTACCTCTCTTCTAGAACAGTGTCTTGAGTCATACTGTAGATATTAATAGAAAGAATGTCCATGACCATTTATTCATTGTAAGATTGGAGACTTTGATCCCTTACATTACAATAAACACCATCTGTTCAACCTAACAATATTACCTTCTAAGCAACTCAGCAAGTTGAATTCTCGGCTGTCCGGGAGACGCCGCGTCGTTGGCTGGGGTGCCGACGTTTCGCCCGACATTTCGCAGGCTTCCTCAGGGTAGTGACACTGCGGCGCTACGCGCCCGTTGATTTAAACTATCTTGCCTGGGCTCTAGGGAGGGGCAGGTGCGCTGTGATTGGCGGAGAGGTCTCCCTGATTGGCCGGCTGTCTGGGCCAACCTGGGACTGGCGCCGGCGGTCCCAGTGGTCGGACGGAGGTGAACAGTGGGCCATGCGCCAGACGTCCCCGTAGTCGGACGGTGTTGAAGAGTCCCCTGCCGGTCCCGAATAGATGGAGCGAGGGATTTCCAGGCGTGACTAAGAGCGAGGCCTGCGTCCGCGTTGATGTTTTGCGGACGTCTGTGTATTCTTCAACACCGTCCGACTACGGGGACGTCTGGCGCAAGGCCCACTGTTCACCTCCGTCCGACCACTGGGACCTCCGGCGCCAGTCCCAGGTTGGCCCAGACAGCCGGCCAATCAGGGAGACCTCTCCGCCAATCACAGCGCACCTGCCCCTCCCGAGAGCCCAGGCAAGATAGTTTAAATCAACGGGCGCGTAGCGCCGCAGTGTCACTACCCTGAGGAAGCCTGCGAAATGTCGGGCGAAACGTCGGCACCCCAGCCAACGACGCGGCGTCTCCCGGACAGCCGAGAATTCATGAATTCGAGCCGCGGAAGCTTACGTATACAAAACTCAGCAAGTTGATAAAATATTTTCAAGTTCAAATTAAGGATGCTGAGAATTCTAAGCATTCAAATAGCATGTCGTGTTCCCTTTTATTGTATTTTATTACTGAATTTTACATCACCGACGTTTACATAATACTCAAAAACACTGTTAACAGCATTAATTAATAATTTGTATTATTTAGGCAATTAAACAAACATTTTTGGTAATTCATAAAATAAACATTCATATAAAAATTATGTAATAAATCTATCAAGATATTTAAATCCTCACTTTCAAGGGCTTCTTCAAGTCCATTAATTTCAGCCCATTGTTTAATAGCTCAAGTAATACAATTCGATACACACAGTCAAAAACTTGTTGGAGTTATTAATTAATATTATCAAATGAAACAACTCAATTAATAGAGATTGAAAATATTTTTGTGGAATAGCAATTCCAATTTGCAGACTTGCCTTGTAAAATTAGGGCCCAGCTCAACTCCATGTTTTATCTCACTCAGCTCATTGAATTGGCAAATTTATTAACTTTAATTGTCCAAGTATATATACTGATATTGTCCGGACAATATTAAACCAGATTTTTAAATATTTATATAAAAATAATAACACTTGCCAATTGTTGAGTTCACAATGAGAATGTGTTTAACAGCAGCAATGTTGATTTTGTTTCATAAATAACATGCACTCACACATATGTAGCCAGCAAAAGAAAGTTTTATAATACCATTGATCATTAATTTTGATAAATAAATTGCACCATAAATATAAAGCACAATATTGTACCGTATTCTTTAACATTATCAACTTAATCATTAAAAGTTTGCAAATAACATTATGTAAAAAAATCTTTGTGCTTTGAAAGTACATGTTGTCCTTGTATACACTGATGTTTGAAAGAACGCATGAACAGAAACTTGTTGTCTAATAAATGTGCATTCTTAAATAAGACGTGTTTACTGTACAAGCATGAACTATCAAATTATTGTGTGTATGTTAACGTGGAGTATGTCTGCTTCTGACCTGCATGACTTGCAACAGACGCATATCTATGTAATGAGCATGCTGTCTATCTCTTAAGTATCTACTTTGGAATAGGGCCAATGTCACATCAATAACTTTGTTCTCTTTTTCATGGTGTTGACTTCACAGTACATACACTAACACATAGTTGGCATTTAATTAATTAAATATTTCAACATAAGGGCAAGGTTATATTTTTTGTATGTGAACTGTGTATTTATTACAACACCACCATACTTGGTATAAAAACATTTGTGTGTAATTATAATAGTGAAATATCTGATGATATGCAAGGATGGAAAAAATTATCCAAATACCTTGTTTGGATACAATTATTCACCACTTGTTTAATATAAGTAATAATCACTTTTCATCAACTTTTTAAAAACTAATTATGTTTCTTTTATATACTGATAATGAAATGTGATAATTGTATGTGCTTAAAAACATCTTAACATTAATATCATTCTTCTGGATATGGTAAACAAGTTAATTAAACTTTTCTTTTATCACATTTTAGTATATTATGAAAATATAACTCCTGAAATTGGTCTCTTTATGCCAGGTATGATGGTTTTTACATAAGGTACCACTTGCAAAATAACTCTTAATCTCAAATTTATGTCTTGCCACTTGATAGGACATGGTATAAAATTTCCTATTCGAAAACTTTATTCTGTGTTTTGTATATTTACCTGAAAGAGTGATAAAGGATTAGACAAAAGCTTTTTGCATAATTCTAATCTGTTATTAGAGTTAGTTTTCTGCTATTTAATGTTGAATCAATAATCTGCAACTGGGTTATTCTTTTCAGTAGAAAATAGTATCACATCACATAATAATAATTTAATATGCGTGTCAGCTTCGGAAGCACAAAATCTTTGTCACGTTATTTGGTAAATTGTGTTAAAAAATCGCATTGTTTTTAAAGCTCTGCACTTCACCCTTCTGCAACTTCTGGCTAATAAATAATTTTGTTTTGTTTTCATGGAGTGAAATCTGTTTGTAACAATGGCTTAGTTATAAAAGATATTTGTATATAAATCTTGTAATTTCAATATATAGTTGGTAGAATTATATGATAATAGTATAATTGATTTATAGCAAGTTTGATACTTTTATTGAATTATTATGTATGTTGTAAGAGTGGTAAGTTTGTGCTTTAGTTAGTTCCCCATGACTTGTCAACATAGTTATTCTTTCTTCTTGGCAATAATATTTTCTTTATTAAAAATATCATGTTTAATTTGGTGATTTAAGACATGTATTTGAATTCACAGTGTGTGAAATGACATTTCAGACCAGATGGTGTGGGAACTGTTACACATGAAGAAAAAGAAAAATTTCAAGAAATAAAAGAAAGACTGCGCATTCTTTTGGAAAATCAAATAACAAACTTCAGGTAAGATATTTTACCCAGATTTGTGATAAATTGTTAAGTATAGTAACTAATTTATACAAGCTGTGAATGTATTAGTGGCGTCTCGATGTAGGTTGCACGGTTGTACAACCCCCGGATAATAGATAAATTGCTTATAATAGTGTTAGGAATACACATTTTCCATTTAATGTCGTGCAATATTCTTGATTTTGCAGCGATATCGATTTACCTATATGAAATTGTTTTGAAATCAAAAAGTGACAGTCGAACGCCCTCTCTGGTGTCTCGTTGCAAGCCAGGCAGCGCACTGATGTCACGGTCTTATGCTCTTATACTGTCTTTAATACTGACCGCGCATCCTTATACGTCAACATTGGGCCCCCGTGCGTTTTCGTTCCACAACGACGAAAGAGAACGAAAGAGAATTTATATTCATTTGATGTTGGATTTCGTTTTGTATGAATTCTTTATCGGCAAATGTCTTAATGAAGAACTAATACAAAACCTTGCGTGCGCACCGGAAATCATAGGAAGAATTATGAGCGCGGGAGGTTAACATATCAGACACGAACGCTATGAATAAAATTATTTAAGTAAAGTTTGATTATAGACTTTTATTAAACTTAGTTTTACTTAATTTACATAAACTGCTTACGTTTTATTATATATTAGTTTTCTGAACTTTGGAAATTGCTTTCCTGTCATTCGATGGAACTGTATAATCCCGTTAGTTGGGGCACCAGCCGCCACTGGCATGCATAAAAGTTAATTTGCTTTATTGAGTTTCAGTGCACTGATGTTTATTTCAATGCAGCATACAATGCCTTAAGTGTTTCAATGGACTGAATATCAATGAATTTAATTGATTGCACATCCTTGCTTTAGGAATTGTATCTTATATACTCAAATATGTTTTGTGTACTTCATGCATCAAGGTTGTTGAATTAATGATATCAATTCTTCGTATTATGAGCGGTACTTATTTATCGTATTTCGTTCTCCAAGATGCTTGTTATCATGTTGTTCTAGATTTAACGTTATCAACGTTTTATTAATATGATCGTTTAACATGTTCAATCTTTAATTTGCCTCTCTTTTTTGTTCATTCCCGGTATGAATCGCATCATTTCTCTGCTACTGTGCGTTCAAAATGTCTCTCCGTAGAATCTGTTCCGTTATTCCATTCCCTTGTATTCAGTCCAACCAGAGAGACGGCGTCTTCGTTGTAGTCCAGACCATGATGGAAGGCCATATCATGATGTTTCTTGCATATAATACACTCTGGTTTCTTTCATCATGGTCCATACCAGCCCAACTTGGTGGATAAAAAGCATCGAGGATCTACAAATTCCTGGAGATCGCTTCCTTCCCTCATCCCTCACCCTTCTCTATGCTTCCTATCCCTCTGCGGGCAGCTAGCTGCGCCGTTCTGATACCACGATTTTGGTTGCGATAGAGGAGCGTTAGCTGTGTGTACTGAAATATATTCTTCTGGAAACATTGTAAACAAAACCATTGCAAAAGGAAGAATTCTTTGTTGACTATAAGCATTCATTTTCTCATTATCCGATAATTAGTAATAGGAAATGAATACCAATGTACTATTCCTCTGGGAGAATAAAGAAACAGTTTGAGACAAGAATGCCTGGCCTCCGTTCCGCAAACCCCCTTAGAGGATCAGGTTGCCACCCTGTACATTGTGCGGACACAATATCTCCTTCCCCCATCTCTACCTGGACTTGACTGTACTGATAGCTACTGCACTAGATATAACAACTACCTATAAATCTAGTACGTACATTAAACTGTCAACATACACTACACATGGCCGGTTTCTTCTCATTCACATGTGCATTGCTCCGCCACTCCACGCCACACTATCTACTTTCTGTACCGAGAAGGCAGCCGTTTGGTCCGCTCGCTGGTTTGAGCTGCATTTGAACATCCTCTCCTTCAATTACTAATGGATCTGGGGTATTTGGATGCCCGGGCTGCTCTCCTGGTCCTCGGAACGCCCTGGACTGCTCTGTTGTTTGTTTTCCTTTACTTCATCCGCACAGGAACGTTTAGTTGGGAAGGAGTATGAAGCTGGGCAGTCGCCAGCCAGCCACCTCCCCGGATACTGCATCCGAGACCCTGCCAACACTGAGATGTCCATCGTAGTCGTGGACGAAACGTTTAGTCCATCAACGCCAACTGGACCACGGTCTACCAGCAGGAAATTTTATCTGATATTGATTCCGACCGCGAAAGCCTACGATGCTATATAAGTTCAAAATTGTTTGATTGTTTTTGAATTTTCTCCACGTCCTGGGTATGTAACAAAACCATAGACACCTCTCACATAGCCGGAGGCTGCATAGTTTTCCGCCGATTTTTGCATTTATTCTGGATTAGTATTATAGATTATTGAATGTTACTGATTTCATCTCAAACCAAAATTAATTTCATTTTGAATGTTCAAAAACTGTAAATACTTTTTGTATTTATCCTTTCATGCAGTACCTCAAGATGTGACTAACTTATTCAAGAGACATCATTTGAAACTACATGAAGATAAATTTAGTGAAAAAGTTTCCCTTGAAAGAGGAACAATGGTTAAAGATACTTTCCAACGCTTCTTCAAATACATTAGACAATCATTGTTGGCTCTTACTCCAATTTAAACTTCTAAAATGTCTTACGTAGCATATGACAGTTTATACGTATATCATTAGTAGAGGCATTATTTATTTCCCTTTATCTTTTGTCCGAAAATCTGATGCTGATAAGAAGCACTGAGCACTTAATTTTTGTTTTAATTATTACTAGTAGCGGCGAGCGTCAATGCAACGCCTTACGACACGAGCGTACCAATGATTGAGAAGTCACGGGTTCGTCTCTGCTTGAAATTTAATTTTAAAATTTAGCGTTTAACTTCGGTGACTTTGTGCTATAGCAAGATATCATCATCACTAACACCGTGCTACGTAGCCTCCTGCCAAAAGCCCATACCTTTCCCTTCCACTTTACTTACTTCTCCACTCTTCACACCTACTCTGACCTTCTCCTCTGCACATATACTCTTCTCACATTCCCAGTGCCAATTTCTCTTTACCTGACGCCCTAATTTCTTCACAATCTCTCACAGTTGGGACACGTTACTACTTTCGACCATGCACTCGGGGTAAAAATGGGGTAAATTTTATTTTTTATTTATTTAGGATAGAGATTTTGTCTTAAATGACATTTGTTCTAAAAATTCCTTAAAAATGCCATGTACAATTAAAAAAAGAAACTAGAAGTTTTCACTAATTTCTGCTTGTAGTCAATACAACTTATAAAAAACGTTTTCTCAAAACTTGCTCTTTTTTTATTTTTTCCTTTGTTTTTTCTACGAATAGAAAAAATAACGGTTTTCTAATGGATAACATACGTAAAGAAAATGGATCGTACACACCTTGTAGCGTCCGTGCCGAAAACAAAGTAACCAGCCTGAATGCTCCTGACGGCAGTAGAGACATCAACAAAAAAAACCTTTTCTCTCCGCACAACCGACAAAAAATAAATTTCTAATTTTTGAACGTTGTAATTTACTTCAAATCCAATGAGGCGTAATGCCGTCCACGCCCTTCCGGAAACTGATCGGTTACAGCGTATTCCCTGAGAGGCGCAATCGGAGTACTATGGTTACTTATTGATAGTTTGTTATGCATTGGGAAGGGAAGGGTATGAAGTTGTGAAAAGTCTACGAGTTCGAATAACAATTATTATTTGCTGCAGTGTGTGGGGAGAGACAGAGGGGGGGAGTAGAGAGACGAGAAACACGCGAGGAAGACGAGGTGAGGAATTGAGTTCGACGACGGCGGCTGCGTACCACATCGCTCCACCATTCATCCATTGCTTCCTCAGCAGCAGAGGCAGTGCTCGTCGCTGTTCTTGTCTTGTTCTTCGGCTCGTCTGCTCGTAGTAATTTAGCGTGGGCCTCCGGCATGGCTCTCTCCGGAACTGCCTCTAACGTGGCTCCCGGGGGAACTACGATCCTCGGCAACTTGAACGGTCCTTTCATATACCGTCATGGTAATTGTGGAAATCGTTCTGAAAGCTTTTAGAAAAGAAAGCGGATCTTCAGAGTGGTGTCAACTGTTTCCCAATTCGTAATGGAATTTTCCCCGTTCGTTAAAGCGCAGAGCCACATGGCTCTGAAATAGTTTATATTAATACAGAATAATGCCATTTTAATGGTGACACATTACAACGTATTTATTTTGGGAAAGAATATGATAAACATGTCAACGTATTTCGAATTTCAAATAATTATGAACTATTAGTACAGAGATTACTATTAATTACAATTGGCTTTCTAATCTTTTTTTTCTTTTATCTTGAAAAGTAGACCAATTAACGTCTTCTACTCACTAAAAATTATTACAGTTCAATGTTAAAAATTATTATAAATTAAAGCTTTGCACCTCTCCCTGTTATATTGTTCAAAATGTTTGCACTTACTTGTACGAGTATCTTCAGGACATCTGTATTTCACTGCTTCGATTCGGAGTTCTGGCACTGTAGGGTTCATTCAAGAAATAGCGTTTTTCAGGAGAGAGATAGGGTTGTTCCCTTTGTTATAAAATTGTACGATGGGGAAGTGATCGAAAAGTATATGTACACTAAAAAAGCAAATGTCTCAAATGAAGATTATTTGACACAACATTTTATTTTATTTTACTTTATTTTTTTTTGAAAAAAATGCGTATTGTAGGCCAATCCATTTATTTCCTTTGTATACAGTTTAGCTATCCATTATATAGCTGATATTAGATTTTTTCTACTTCTGTCAATTGTTAACAAAATGTTGAAGGTGTGTTCGTACACGTGAGGGTGTACATGATATTTTACAAAATATTATGAAGGGAGAGACGAGGTCAAAAATGACTTTTTGTGTGATGTCCTTATTCCATCGTCTTGCAAGATGCCCAACCTTACTCCTAAGGTGGTCATGGCAAACAATTTTGATACATAATCACTATCTACTTTGTCTTTTCGAGAGGATAGATTAGTTTGTAGGATTTACTATTTTCATTTAACTGCTCTGTCTTTGATCGCTCGACGGATATTTTAACATTGTTAATGCAATTTATGGTAGGTCATGAAAACTGTTCTGCACATGTCATATAAGGATGTGTACTAATTATGTTGAACTTTCAGTTTTTTGTAATTCACCCTTTGATTCACACAAATAGTGCTTTTTGATGAATACCTTAATGCCTTTTCTAATGTTAATCTTTGCAATAGGTATTTTATTTAATATATTTTTACGTTTTTTGTAGGTACTGTTTCCCGTTTGGAAGACCAGAAGGTGCTCTGAAAGCAACCCTTTCTTTATTGGAGAGGGTAGGTAAATCAGCAAATCTGATTATTCATATAAAGATTATTTGTCTCCTACAATAAACATTCTTACTTGTTAGCTTTATTCATATTAGTTTTATTCATTTTCATTGTGTTCTTTCTTATAATAAGATGTTAGTGTCTTTATAGCATTCAGCTTCAATACGTGATCATTTTAGAAGATATTAATCATGAAATTGATAAAAGGTTCTGCATTAATTGTTAATATCTGTATTCTAATATGTATATATTACATGAAAAATAGCTACAGACTCTTATACTCCTATATCCATTCTCAGGTATGGTGCTCGTCAGTGGTTTTATGAATCGAATTCGAGAAAATCGTTACCTCCATGACTTTTTCTCTTTTAAGTTTGCTTTTTTCCTTCTCATTTTTCTCTCAGAAATGCATAGTATATAGATCAGCTACAAATTGATAAAACATGACCATCATCTGACCACTTTTCCAATATCTCAGTTTTGAAAAATTAAGGGGAAATTTCTGCAAATAATAACTATTACATTGATTTTGTTTATCTCAGATGTCACAATATAGGTGTTTGATTTTTCATGATAACTGTTTAGGTACTGCCCAGTTTAGTTAGTCAATGAAGGAAAGCATCTCACCTGATGGACTTCAACTTGCTTCTGAATACAGAATGCCATATCATCTGCGCACAAAAAAAGTAACATATCTCAATATTTTTCATTGTGGAGGAGAAAGGTTTAAATCTGAGTGAAGATCTTTATTTTACAGACAAAAAAGTGTTTTATTCTATATCTCTGCTGTTTTGTAAACTACCATTCTGAAATTTTCTCTGGTAAAAATCTACAATTTTCTGTGTTTATGTCTTCACTAAAAATGGTCAATCATAAATACATCACTTTTCTTGGGACAATGACTATTAATTGAACTATCATATGAGTTAGGTTTATTGCTTACTGCTACATGACTTACCGCTGATAAATGGAGAGACAGAAATTAAATGCTCATATTATCGTTAATACTTTGAAAAGTTTCGAGATAAAAGACTGATTCATGTGAAACACTGAAACATAAGTGTAGCATATCTGTAAAAAACTTACTTTTTTAGAGAATATGCAGCAATGAAATTATAACTTTTTGCTAATGAACACATGATAAGAAATCTCTTATCACAAAGTTACACATGTGACTTCCCTATTGTTAGGCCACTCATTATGTACTGGTGTTCGGCAGGTACACGGAATCTCCTTGATTGTGAGAACGTGACCTGCCACACACTAGTGCATAGTAAGTTGCCTAATTAACAGGGACAAATGTTAAATGTGAATCTTTGATATATATTTCTTGCCACAATAATTAATATTCTACAAACCCCTTACATTACCGCCCTTATGTTCTATAAATGTAAGATATTTATTCTAGTACACCTGTATTGTCTCTGCACTGCGTGAAACCCTCAGGAAGTTATAAAGATAAATAAAATAGATTCAGAAATAATTCCCTTTGTTTGTCACATAATGTGCAACTACAATACAATTCTGTAACCTACAACTGGGCACACCAATGTAACACCATGTCTTATCAACACTAACACCCAACACCAAGCCTATTCTCTGAGGGCTCTTAGCTGTTGCATGGCACCAAATCCTCTCAGTAGAACACTTCACAATATACAACATAAACACAAGATAATCTTGCAAACAAAAGAGAGCTACATTGTCTTTTTTTATGGAGGATTTAAAGAAATAGTATATTGCAATTTGTAACCTACTAATAATTTCAGCTATCTGTAGAAAAAGTTCATAAGATGAAGTGCTGAGGATCCAATAAAAGATTTATATTAATTCAAAATTTTTAATAAAAATTACATTTGTATGATAGAATTAAGTATATTGTGCTATATCCTTGCAAAAAATTAAGAGCAAACATTTGGAAATGCTTTTGAAAAAACCTTGTTTACAGATTTGAGGAAAATTCTTACAACTTCAAAATTATGCATAAAAGACACAAATTATGCATGAAATGATAGAATGAATTGTATTTGAAATGATTTGAAACTCTAAAATTGAAAAACATTTTGCATTAAACAATAATCTATCTCTAATAATGTACTTGTAGGAGAGAGCCAAAAAGATTCAACTTACGCTATTTCTGATATTTCAGAGGTTTTAATATGAAATCTATGCCAAGTTATTTGGAGAACTTAACTCCACTCTAGCAAAAGCTTTAAAGCAAATATTTGAAGCGTTTTTTAAGAAATTATTGTTGGCGAATATTTTTGAAACTTGTCACTATTTTACTCACTATTACGTCAAAAATTCTTATATCTTTAAAATATTATACATCATATAATTTCAAGATTTAATTTTGGGCTCTAAAAAATTCTAAATTTTTACAGTTTTCAAAAATGTAGGTCTTTTGCTGAAAGTCCTACCTGCACCATTTATATAAGCATACTCCACTCTATTTGCTTAAAAAATCCTTAAAAAATTGAAGTATTTTTGTGAAATTTTTGAGAATATTCTAGAGATTTGTGTACAGTACTCCAAAAATTCAAAGATCCATTTCAAATTCCAGAAGCTGTGACATCACACAGATCGATCGGGGAATGTCGATTTTGGTGAAAATCGTGGGTATGGTATGAACACTAAAGTTGTTCATGCACAATCAGGCGTGTTTTGAAAGAAAAAAAAAGTTTTTTGGTATCAGGGATCTCTAAAACATATATTTCCCTCAAAATCACGACTTCCTTTTTTTGGCAACATTACAATACTTTACTATACTACATACACCACAAAGCAAAAATCCGACATTGCACCAACAATGGAATTTTCATTTGAATACAGCATTAAAAACAACTGCTACATCATCCATTTAATCTCATTTTGCAAAATAATCCTAGAGCAATTTAATTCGTGTGAACATAGATTATTTTCATCTTTGAACAAAACACTGTTTGGTATAATTCAATGTTTATTTTAAACTCCTGAAAGTTTATAGTAAATTTAAGAAAGATCTAAGTATACAGTAGGAAAATGTGTTACTTCTCTTCTTTGAAAACGCATGTTACATAGTCTGAGTCTGAAAACAAATGTTATGTAGAACTTATTCGGTGTTGCACGTTGACTGGCGTGCCATTTCTCATCACAAGTTGCTTTCCATTCCATTAGGAGTACAACAAAGGGTATTACCAATTTCCATGATGCAAGTTGTACCACATGCTACTTTTCAAATAGTTTATATTTGTTTGACTTCAAAGAAATCATTATAATGATTCTTATTTTTGACAATGTAAAATATCAGAGATTTTTAAGAATAACAAAATTGAAATTTTATAACTAAACCTAGTAACATTTGGATAGTGTTATGTATCAACTGACAAAACAACAAAACTTGATTTCAAGATATTAACACAAACATGAAAGTATGAAATTCAACACCTGTCACAAATTTTGTTTTGTGAATAGCAAAATATTCAAAATGATTATTCAAAATTTACAAGCTCATATCTTAAAAACATGAAAAATGTAGCTTAACTCAGCATTTATGTAAAAATGGCACTTGGACATTTGATACATTTATAACGTTCATATAATGTGTTTTGTATTATGACTCCAAGCCAAAACATGCCTCTTAGTCAAGTGATACAAATTAGAGAAGTATGTGGTGCCATTCCTGTTGTAATATTTTACAAGATACAATAAGATTGTACTAGTTTATAATATATTTAATCATAATTAACTGAAATATAGAGAAAACAGTATTACTATTGAATGTTCTCACGTTTTCTTTGCCTCTTTATTGCAGTAGCAACTTGTTATATGACCTCTAAAAAACTCTCCTTATATGATTAAAAAAATTAGGAAATTTCTCTAATGTAATATTACATACATTGCTGAAAAGATAGAAATAATAGTAAATGACAATATTATAATAAAAGCTCTTACAAAGCATAAATATAAGTATACGTTTTCTAGAATTTGAAACTAAACACTTACATGAATACATAAAAAATGCAATATATAAATACATCATATATCTTTATTTGATGTTTCACAATCATCAACGAAATCAGGTTGTAGGCTGTCGAAGCTGTCAATGTCATCCCCGATATAATCAGAGTGGCTGATGAGCTTGCAGTGTATCATTTGAGGTAGTGTATCATTTGATATCAGGTTCATTAGAGATCGAATATTATTTAGTTTCTCTTCAGAAATTGGTTTGACCAAAGAGGCACCAGGAGAGCATGAAAGTTAGTTGTGTTTTGCATTTGGGAAGATAGACATTTTGTTTTCTTTCTAATGTCAACATTGAATGCTTCACTATTAAATTCAATTTTAAAAACTATATTAAATGACTTGTCTTTTATGAGTTCTATCTCTTTCACCTTCAGCCAGTTTATTTTTTCATTTCAAGAATTGGTTTTGTGATTACTATTTTCTTTTCATTATGGACAGTTCTCTTGAAATGTTCAGGTTTAATTCTTTGAACTGTAGGATTAATTTTTCAGCATATTTTCATGACATTTTATGTAATCTTGTCTATAAAGTCTCTATTGCAGTTTGAGAGCGTATACTATATCTCCAAAATCAGTCATTCATGATGAAGCTGTGTTCAGGTATAAGAAACCTCTGCCTCATTCTGTTCAATGTAGGATGTTGAACTAAATCTACATTTAGCATTAAAACCATAAGTAATAAATAACAAACTTTAAATACTATTGGAGTTTTAACTCACAATCACATACACCAACCCCTTCTCAATATAGATCTTGATATAGGTATCAAGGTGGTAATGCATACACACAATGCAAACCACAGGTGGGAACATAACAAATTGCAGTATGTGACCAAACGATGGTCATTTATATCATAATCAACCGGTGTGAAACAGAACGGTGTGTAAGATTGGGCTGCTAGTCAACTGATGCAAAATATAATTTTTATGGTGGAGTGTTTGACGCTTTGTCCAAATGAGCATTCAAAAACAAAATTCAATGCTAAAACATTTTTTAATAGATAGTTTACACCTTCATGCACAACATGGTGCAAAAATCTAAAAAAAACAAAACACAAAATGATACCTGGTCAATTGATGCATAACACCCTCCATTTATGAAAATTGTGCTACATTGACCTGACATTCCCTGGCAAGGTTGTAGGTGGTGTTGTAATGGGACTATTGATGATAGGAAGAAAAATATTTTCCCATTGTGTAGATTTTTGCAATTAGTGTTAAGAAGTTAACAAATGACATTGATTGATGATTTTGCCCTTCAGTGTTTCAGGTGTTTAAAAGTATGATCAAAAATGAGAAATTTCTATAAAACTGGCAATTTTGGCCCTCTTAGTAAAAAAAACTTATGATGTGATACAAAAAATGGTTTACATATTTCAATTCAACACAGAAAAATTACATTTAAAACTGTAAATTAGTTCCATTTCATTTTTATACCTTTCAAATATCAAGATGGACTGGAAGATGTTGCTTTTGCACAAAGATTCAAATAATGATGTAGCTTGATCTCCCTAGTCCATACTTTTAATATATTTTATTTTCTTTCAATGTAGGTGCTTATGAAAGATGTTGTAACACCTGTCCCTCCAGAAGAAGTACGTGCAATGATCAAGAAAAGTTTAGAAACTGCAGCTTTAGTAAATTATGAGAGACTTTCCGCTGAAGCAAAGATAGAAGGTGAGTTTATTCATACATATAAGAGATGTCAACACTTAAATCTAAATAATAATTGAAATATTCTTTCAAACATTTTTGCTGCTGAAATACCAATCAAATATTGTATGACCAGTAAACTTCATTGCGTAAGAACTTAATGAAGTATCACTGCAATTATTGTGAAACTTTGTGGGTATAAAAATTGAAATTGGGGAAATTTTCATATTTTTAATGTTCTGAAATATTATTTTTAGTAACTGTTGAAGGGTGCAGATTTTGTAAATATTAAAATGTCAATTAATAACTAACCATTTTTGTTTTATATCCTTATTTCCTATGGCCCTTGCCTAAATTGCCTTTTTCTCTCATTCATGTTTTAATTGATTCATTTACCTTATGAAATGTGTAATTTCTCTTTATTCATAGTATTTTCTGAGAGCTTTACTTTGCACTTGCTATGAATTTTTAAAATTGAATTTATGATTTTGAGAATTGCTGTATTTAATTTGATGTAAGCTAATCAACAATATGGCATATTAACACCAGTCAGTACCTTCGAGGCAGAGAGCTTTACTTCACATTTATCTAATTTTGCAAAAGAGCAATTTAAAAATGATTAACTGATTTTAACTTTATTTTTAATGTCTTTTGGACCTAGTTCTAAATATCTCCAGGGAAAGGAGTGGAATTGGAATATTAAAATATCCTATTATAGGAAAAAAGAGACCTAACAATCTTCACCCCCAAGGTCGAGAATTATTCTTATAAAGAGTTAAGTAGTATTTAAAAAAATATATTTTCTGTTTCTCTTTTTAAATATTAAATATTGTTTTATGTCTACTAATCTTTTCTTTGCCACATAGAGAAATAATTTCTATGACCCATTGATATAATATTGGTAATGGTAAACTGCATAATATCAAAAGTATTGTTTAAATTCCATCTCAACAATCACTAACTGAAATTTTAAATTAATTTTATGAATACATTATTTTTGTGTGCATTATTTTCTTCGATTATTCTTTTCTTCCATCTAATTAACATTTACTGAAGGCATATATACGCTCTTCTTCATCTCATCTGAGAAATCTATGAACATAAGTTTTCCAAAGAGTTCACTCAAAGTTCACTCAGTATTATCAAACTGGCAAAAAATTTGTGAAGACAAAATTATACATGCTTGCCAGTAACTTCTACCGCTCAAAATTCAAGGAATGTTTTAAGAGATCTCTGAAAGTGTTACTTAAAGATTTCTCCAACTCTCGTTTGTTTGGGAATCAGGAATTTTCTTTCAAGTGAAACTCTGATTCCAGATAAGATCCCCATTGATCGGAATCCATATTAATTCTCGTTTCTCAGGACCTACTGATTTATTTGCTGACTTCAAGATCCTTGTAATTTGTGCTTTGGGCAACCTCATTTTCCAATAATTATTGAGTTTCTTTCGCCTTGGCAAATTTTCTCTGAAAGCAGGAAAAAATTCTTCCTTCTCTATCTGCAATGTTTTTATCTATCATTCTCACATCTACATAAGAAAAAATCTTCAAAATATGCACTGAGAGAGCCCATGAACAAGCGCTTCTTCGTAAAGAATTAAATGATTGTGTTAGGGGTAATTATTTATTAGGTGTGATTTTACAAATATGCACCTGGGTTTATAATGAAAATGAATTAAAAGATCAAAATAATTATAAGATAAAAATATAAACCTTACTTAACATTGGGTTAACATTAGGACCATCCATAAATTACATAACTCAAATTTCAGTATTTTGAATACCCCCTCTCCGCCTTGTAACACACCAGTAATGTGCGTTTCATCGCCCCTAAATAATTACGTAATACTTGTGTCAACACCATTTACAGTAAGTAAAAGTATCTTATATAGCAGTAAAAACTATTTTTGTTAATTTTATTTGTGTAATACATTAAAATTTATGATAATAATAATGAGAATTAGTTGGTGAGACTGATCCCACCCAACACTAGGTTTGGAGAAAATTTGTGAGAGAAGGAAGAAGAGTGAGAATCCCTTTTTGTGGGTCCTTGACACAGAAAAAACGATTAACAGCAAATCGTCTGTCTATCTGTGGTCAATGCTAGCATCTAAACTATTCAGACGGTTCTCAATAATGGCTCCAACATTTTACTTTCTCGCTACTGCTGACGCAGTATAGAGAAAATATTGTAATGCTGCGAGAAAAACGGCGAATTTTCGACAAAAAAAAAAGCACTCTTATTGACCAGTGCTGGTAACGAAAGGCGAATAAATCTTGTCCCTATATGTAGTAAATTACTTTCTCAAATACGTTGTGTAGTGAGAATTCATGTTTTGTGGTTCATTATATCGAAATTCGAAACGGCAAAACGGCAGTCAGTAAAACGGCTGTTTGTCCGTCCGTCCGTCCGTCTGTGCACAACGCTAGCGCCTAAACGTTCAGCCATGGCAGTCTATATAGTCTGTATAGAGACGGCCATGGTTCAGCAGATTTTCTCCAAAACTGATATTCTCCAATCGATCTGGAGGATGTCGCGGCCCTTGGAATCTGAAACCGGTATACTAATTTTGGGGGTTACTTACATGAAGCCTCTGGGACATTTTCAACATTTTCTCAAAAGTTGTAATAATTGTATATTATAAAATTTTTGTATTAATTTTTTTGTAAGAATAAAGTAAAATACACTCATAAAGATGGCATCCACTCATAACAGTGGACTCCGATGTTCACTGTTAAATCTAAATTTTCAAAAATTGCAAAAGTTTGACATTTTTTCAGCGTCTTCTTACAACTACAAAATTGAAGATTGAGTTTTTTCTCCAAATGAAATTTCATCTCCATAATTAGTTAAGTCTCCATAATCAGATAAAGTTTTTGAAATTTTTAGTTGTTTCCGTGCAATATTGAGTGACATATGTGTAACATTAAAAAATATCTAATATAAAAACTTTTCAAAACTGGCTCTAAATTTTTTCTTTAAACTTTTAGTAGTCATAGTGTTAAATGTGCTGTAATAGATGGTATAAATGCTATTTTTTCTATATTCCTTTGTTTTGTTTTTTTAATTACACAATTGAAATTTTTTGACATCTCTCTCATGTCATTAATATTTACATTAACGGTGATTTGTATACGTTGTTGCATTTGTGACCACTAAATGATGCCTGATGAATTTTCTCAAAAACTCAACTGTTTTGCAAAAATTAGCTCAAAATTCCGCGTTTTCAGTAATGCTCAAACGCCATTTTCTCAAAAACGGCCCCAATTTTTTTCTTCGAACTTTTTGTAGGGGTAGTACTAAATGCATCGTATAAGATTACATAAGAGCCATTTTGTTGCATTCTTTTGTTGTTTTTAAATTAAGCAAATGTATTTTTCTAATATATCTCACGCCGGTAATATGCACATTTCCAGCGTTTTGTGTTTTTTGTTATTTGTGGGAGGAAGTGCTTCAAATGACTTTCAATGAAATTTTTCGAAAACTCGAAAGTTTTCTGTAAAAAGAATTTCAATTTCGCATTTAAAGTAACGCTTAAACACTTTTTAAAATGACTCCAAATGTTCCTTATTAAGAAGTCCCTTTTTAAGCGCGAGAAAGTAAAAATATTGGAGAGATTGATGTTGAATAGCTTGCACAATATCCAAGTAAGAAATGTGAAACCCGGCACAAAACGAATCAACATAACAGTTTTTAATACAAAATTTCTACCTCCTAACTGTTATCAATACTTCACAAATTAAGTTAAATGTTGATGATTATGGCAAAATGCCTTAAAATAGGATATTTTCTACCTTCTGTACAAAAATATATACCTGCTACAAAACCTTTCAAACCTATTTTATTAGAAATTGTTTTGGCGTTTTTAAAATGATTAATTTGATTATCCATCAGAGGCATATAACGCAAAAAATGCCGTATGAGGTGTATACAAGTAAGACAATTTAAATTTAGCTCATAGTACTTCAACATAACATCGTTTTAGAATGCCTAATTCAAACCGAAACTCACAGAAAAAGGATTTTCGATTGAGCATAAAGCCAGCTGTTGGTCAGAGTTCCTCACCTGTGGGTCAGAAGCAAATCTTCGGTCTTTTAAAGCATCTTTACGTGGACCAAACAGATGGAAATTAGATCGGAACTGTATCCAGGATGCTCTGATATTTCGAAATACAGATTTTGAAGACCTTGGGAAGCGGAATGTGGATGCATGTTGTCTTGCAACAATTTTTTTCGGCAACCCATCCCAGCGGTCTCATATGCAGAAGTGATAAACGTACATATGGTTTGCTACTCCATTAATAATCTCTCACTAGTTATTAGAATCACGGACTTGCTCAATACTGGGATCGGTAGTGTGTGAGGATGGACGTCTTGCTTTTTTTCTCATCCTGCGAGCTTGTTAGTCTGCTTTTGAATTGTTTAATCAACTGGTAAACTCATTGTCAAAGAAAAACATTACATTCTCATTGTGATGAAAGTATTCTAAGAATTTCAGCTTTTGGTATACATTTAGATCACAAAAAATAAACGGATTCGAAAACCTATTATTTTTTGTGCAAACGATAAGGTTGATACTTTACATGAAACCTCACCATTTTCAAAATATTCTAAAAAATTGCTCCAATGTGTGTGGTTATTTTTTCTCTGATAGAGCAAAGGATGCCTTAAAAGTCGTCACTTCATTGAATCTTCCGAATATTCGAAAAAAAATAATTTCAGCGTCTTCCTATAGCTATAATATTAAAGATAGAGATTTTCCTTAATCTGATCTGTCCTTTAAATACATATTTTTGAATAAATGCATGTATACTTATATAAATACATGTTACCGGGCCAATTTGTAAACAATTTTCTCAAAAAGAGCTCAATTTTTTCTATAATTTTTACTTTCTTGCTACTAAGTATAGAGAAAATTATGTAATGTTGAGCGAAGTAACTGCGAATTTTCGGCAGAAAACTCTTATTACAGGGCCCTGGTAACGAAAAATGGATAAATCCAATTGCTAAATTTAGAAAAAATAC